AGCGGTTAGACCATTGACCACGCGTCCTCGAGAGGACGGAGCATTGTTCCCACAGGACCGATCACCGATGGTCAATCGTTCCTTCCTACTTTGCCAAAGGTGGCTCAAAAATGTCTTTCCTAGTCTGTCTATCCTACCGATGTCACTTCCCGCTTTTTCAAACCACTTTCTACTCCCCAGTACCGCTACCGTCCTGTCCTCTCTATTCCATGCCTCAAACATCTCCCTGTACGTCCCTTGTATTCTTCCCAGCTCAGTCATGTACACTTCCCTTCGTACCACGGACATTCCGCGACTACATGAACACTGTCTTCGCATTCGAAGCCGCAATCGCATTTGAACTTGTCGTCTTCGTCGTCTACCGTCCTATGTCTTCGTCGACGTTCGCGAAGGCCTATGTCCCCGGTCCTGAATATGACCTTAAGCTTTGTCCCTGCATCCATTGGTCCATGTAGGTAATCCTTGAACCCTATTCCTTCTTTCAACATTCCGTACACTTCTAGACCCTCCTTATCCTTGGTTTCTTTCCTTAGATTCTGTTCTTCTCTCTCGGCACAAGCAACAGATATCTTCTTCTTGAACCCCTGTAGACCCTCCGTTTCCAGCGTTTCATCTTCGTCGATGTCCAATCCCTTCCATACGTCCTCTACAACCTTGACCCATTCCGTGGGTTGTCTACCCCTCTTTTTGTTTGCCCGCTTCGCCTCCCATACTATTCTCGGCAACCTCTCCTCTCCCATCCCGCACATGCGGTACTGCCATGTCAGCTTCCTTACGTCTCTTCCCGACCGTAGGGATTGGATCCCCAATTCTGCCCTGACTGCTGCATTACTTGTGCGCTTGGAGCATCCTAGGATGATTTTCGCTGCTTTCATCTGCGCCGCCTCGAGTTCTTTCACTACCTTCTTATTTCCTTCCCATACTTCTCCGGCGTACTCCAGCGGCGGTACGATTACGCTCTTCAAAACCGTCAGTTTGATGCGTGTATCAAGGTGCCGGTTTGCGAGTATTGGGTGCAGCTTCCCTGCTCGTGCTTTGCCCTTTTCCGCTACCTTGGACATGTGTGCATTCCACGAGCAATCTTTTGCGATCTCTACTCCGAGGTATGTGTACTGGTCCACTACTGCAATCTCCTCGATCCCCCACTTCCATCTATGTTCTACTGGTTCCTCCCTACCCTCGTTGCATACCATGACGGCACTCGGGGGGGGGGGGCTGTAAAGTGTAAGTGCCCAAAGAATTGACCGGCAATAGAAATGGTTATGGCCCTTTGAGGGTCTAAATTAAGAGGGAGCTCGACTCTCACTGGACTGACTATTTCTTGTTGCAAGAACATGTGTACTGGCGAAATACCTCCGCAATCAATACATTTGCTTTTTGGTCTTTGTAAATTTTCAGTCTTGGGGACGCAGTAAATATATACGTACCGGACAACCGCACGATTCGCACGTACAGAATGACGTGGTGATTCAGTCTGTGCCGGAACAGAGCCGCCCACTGTACCCACTGTACACGAAACTCAATCGCTCTCGCTTCTTGCAGATATTCGTAACTGCTGCACACAGCAGATTTGTAATATACTTCAGTACAGTATTTTCCTTGGTTCACTGGGCTATTCGAGTCAAAAACACCCCAGCTGGTTTTGTGAGCTGCGTACAAGTACTGAGCTGGGAAACATCATCGCAGCTGTGGCTTTTGGTCCTCTCGCATCACCTCCATCGGTTGGTGGCACTACTGTGCACTCATCTCATCTCATCTCTAATGACCCCACTCAACATAATCACTTGTACACATGATAAGTCGAACCTTCGAGGACGGACCTGGCTATTTGCTAAAAAAAGTGTCGTCGTTAAGCCGAGCAAGTGTCCCTAAGGTTCATACCCCTAGTTATGTTGTACATTCTGCGAGGCACCATGCCTGTGAAGAAAAAAGCTGTCCTTAGCCGGGGAATTTTCCGTAATTTGGCGTCCTCAACCGAGGCACGACTGTAAAACAACGCATGACAGAAAGAAAAAAACTCACGTGCGTCGCCCCTGTAGCCCCCACCACCGTAGCCACCTCCTCCTCCTTGGTAGCCACGGCCCTCACCGCGGAAGCCGCCACCACGGCCACCGCCACCGCCGTGGAAGCGAGGCCTGGGGGGTCCGCCGTCCTCAGCAGGGGTAGACTCGTCTCCCTCTCCCCTACAGTACGGAGATAAAGTTTGGGAGGGAGAGGGGGGGGATCGGGTTGACCACTAACTCTGCGCGTCAACATGAATGAAAAAAATATGAAGGTCAAGGTTGATGTTGGTGGTACTGTACAACGGCGGAGAGGGAACTAGGGCACCCACGAAATCGAATTTCACTTGTTTTCGCCTCCCGGTGGCCCCGCCGCCGCATCACCATACCTGTGACAGTTATCTTTCAAAAGACAAGGCAAAATCGTCAACATTTTTCAAAACACGACAAAATCGTCGATATATTCTTCACTCGTGTTCACCTTCCGGGGGCCCCGCCGGCGCGGTCTCCGCCTTCACCCCCCCCGTAGCCGGAGCGCTGGGGGCGGTCGCCGCGGTCGAATCCACCCCTTCCGCCGCCTCTGCCTCCACGGCCTCCGCCGCGCCCGCGACCACGCCCACGGCCGTCGCCTCCGCTGTTAACGACGAACACAACAGCAGTGGCAAGATAAACAGTGTTGGAGGGAGTTGCCTACACGCTAGATTTTTCTGGCAAGACTCCAATTTTCGGCATTGTTTTACACTAAAATTGTATGGGGAGGAACATTTTTTAGCTTGGTGTGCCGGGTTCACCTGTAGCTACAGCAACGCTGTTGGGATTCGACAAAAGGTGTAGAGAGTTCGTTACAGGAACATGTCGAGGCTCAACTGTTGGAGAGCACTGTGTGGAAGTTATAGAGTTGCGTCCCGTATCGTGAAGGAGATGGATAATTACCGCAACATTAGGATCCAATTTAGCGTCCATGCACCGCAGCAGGTAAGTAGAATTGTGCTTTCTATGTGGTGTAGGGAGTTTCAAGCAATCCTGAGACCAAGCGTGGGGACGAGAGGTCTGCGTTACCTAACCAATTTGCAAAATTTTCAAAGTTTTTCGGAGATGGGATCGCCACAGAGAGCAACGCTCCAGATCAACGAAAACAAGGATACCCCCTGCTAACCGCACACCATGGAATACGGGTGTGCAGAGGTTGAGAACTTCCACAAAACCATGGCAAGTAGGTGATGCATTTTAGCATTTTCACGAACAAGCTGTCAGGTTCCCGATTAAGAGAGGTCAAGCGGACCTTCTACATGTCAACGTCAAGACACAGAAACTATCTTGTCTGGTCATCATCATGACGATATCATGATGAGAAAGCAACTTACGAGTTCATGGCGGGAGCCCGGAATCCCACGTCTTGGAAGACCTCCTTGGCACGCTGCTGAGTCTTCACCTTACGGGTCTTGGTAGCCTGTAGTACAATGTATAGTGTATAGTGTAATAGATTATATTAGAGTACTAGTAGAACAAAAACACAACAGACAGAGCACAATTACAATCGAATCGTTAGGTAACCGAACAAAATAGACATTCTACACAACACGTAAAAACGAAAGCAGTTAGGTAAGACCAGGGTCTTGGTAATCTAACACGATCGCAATCGACAATAGGGGCACAGCAGTAAAGCGAACGAAATAATGTCATTAACATGAAGGTCAAGAGAAGGCACCGAGATGTGACATGTGGCCCTGTTGCTTCGATGGTCCTCTCCACACATGCCCATGCTGTGGGCGAGAGAAACCATCATCGTCGAAAGGGGTTGGGAGCGCTGGACATGTTGCATGTGACGTGCGGTCCTTACATGTTGAAGTTTCATCTCCACAAGAGATGTCACAATACTTGTAACTCGTAAGGCCGTGTCTACACACACACACACACACCGTGGGCGCATCCCTCATCAACAGCCTACATCAAAGAAGGCTCGACCCTCTGCCGAGTTGAGTCGGGATTTGAGGGCGGTATGACAACGGCTGTTACAAAACCTAACGCAAGTGCGCGAGACTCCCCATATCAAGCTCTCTTCTTCGACCTCTTTTACCCTCGGCAAGGTAGAAGGTCAGGGTAAAAATTGCATTATCCGACCGCGCGTCATTTGGTTCGATTCGACTGGATCAGACAAGATCAACGGCTCAAACAATACAGCGGCGATGGAACCAGAAAGACAAGACCGTGACGTGACACACAGCATTACCTTGCCGCCCATGAAGCCCTCTTCTTCCACATCTTGCTTGTTGCGGATGGCACCGTCATTGAACTCGGAGTCGTCCACGGTCTTGATGGACACTTCTCCGATCATGTCGGCCAGCTCCTTGGCCTTGGCATCGAGCATGGCCTGGTGCTCATCCAGGGTCAGCTGGATCTGCCAGACAGGAATGATAGGTCACCAACCGTTGGGGAGTAAGCTTAAAGATGGCGTTAAGGGTAAGGAACAGCCTTCGTGGGGACAATATCATCAAGTACCAACATCTACCTGAGTGAGTCAATAGGCAAAAAGAGGGCACCGCGGCAGTGTGATGCAAGGACATGCAAAGAGCAAACAGAGGAGAGAGTTCGTTACGGGCACACTCCGCTACACATTTGCTTCTTTCTCGTCACCTTCTCATCACGCGTGGTCTCTTACCACCGCCGTGTTGAGGGCAATTGGAGGTGTCATGCATTCGGTGGAAAGTAGTGTCACAGCACAGCACAGCACAGCACAGCAGGCACGAAGGACCTGGATATACGTACGGATAGTGTGTGGTCTTCCAAGTGACGCAAATTAATGCACATCCAACAACGTCCGAGCGTTAATCCCAGTTTTTCGCGTGCCGAGGTAGGACGAAGAATACTCCTACACACAACTTGAGTGGTTTCTCCGACCTTAACCTTGTCAAGGAGCAAAAATTAACATGTAAATCAGCATGGTGAACAGCTGCAAGAAAAGTAGATGCCACCAAAAACGGAAGCGGTGGCACCTGTTTCTGAAAGTTGAACAGCACATACATGCAAACAGCTGATGGACATCGCAAAAACGTCAGCACAACAGGACAACTGTAGACCGAAGCTGTTTTCATGTCTCCAGTTTCGTCCGCTGTGAACATGCTGCGTGCATTGGTGTCGGCGAGGAAGCCTGGGACCCAAAGGTGAGTCAAACTGTCAAAGCTCTCTCAACAGCTTCACTTCCTTCCTTTTGGTCCCCGCCTTAAAGGACGACAATCATGCACGCAGCATGTTCACAGCGGACGAAACTGGAGGCGTGAATACAGCTGCGGTCTGCAGTTGTCCTGTTGTGCTGACGTTTTCGGTCGCATCTGTTGTGGTTGCAGATGTTCACAAACGCTGACCCACGTGTTCCGTCATTGTTTCTTGACATGGTTGTTGGCACTGATGCCTCCTGCCAGACTGTTCAAATCGGCGTCCCAAAGACAAAATCAGTACACATTATAGCAAGCAGTCTTGCGGTCCAAAGGAAAATCTTGAGGTTCCGGCCAGGATATACAAATCCGTACCCAGACTGCCGTGAAATAGAGAGGGGGTGGATGGGTGTATCCCTACCCCACTGTGTGTTCGGGAGTAAGGTTAAAATTGAAGATGAAAGGCCTCCAAGGAAAACTACGGGTATGACAGGCATCATGCGTAGTGCACCTCTTGCCTCTCCCATATCTCTGCAACAAAGGTCTCCACTCAACCTTCCTTCTCTCTCGGCCTCTTCACGAGGACATTAATACTAATGCTACTTTATGGAATAGACGGGTGGGGGTGCGTATCCCTAACCCTTCTTACCCCCAACCTAAATCCAAGCGAAAAATCTTCCCAAGGCTAATTGTACTGAGTTAGTTAAGTGGGTCTGCTTGTGGCCGTCTGGGAAATGATGGCCACGACACATGCCTCGATCATCATCAATCGCGGTTCCACATGCATACACCTCAAACTAGTTAGTAGCTGCAATATAAATCATTGACCGTGTTCGCAGATCACCACTTCGCCCTCCGGTACACGTCTTGTCTCCGACAGGCACGTATACCGGAGGAGAAAGATGTTATCTGCAAACACAATAATCAAGGAGACAAGGTCGGGTAGCACCGATCTACGTAGCAATGTAGTCTGGGTGGGGCATGGAGGGATGCTTGCTTCCACCTGGTGCCTGTTCGGCAAAAGGCGGGTTGAGACGAATCGTGTTCTACAGTACTACAGGACCACCTCGTGCGCGCACCGCACACACACGCCGCAGTAACTCGTTCATCCATTCTATTCCCACTCACAAAAACTTCAAACAAGTGCAGAACCAGAACCAGAATCAGAATAAGCACCGGTGAGGTATAAATAAATAAAAAAAAAGTGGTGGGCCGGATATGCCAAACCGTACCGCTGTCAAGTGACACGCAAAAATCACCGCGGTATATCGTGACCCGCGCTATTGGGGGAACGTCCCTCAACAGAAATTTGAGGCAATGGGAACAGGCTAGATAGTGCGGTAGTATAGTATAATGAGGCGAGGTAGTTGTGCCAGGGAATTAATACCGCGATACGCATACATCGGGCCCCGCACTATTGGGGGAAGGTCCTTGAATAGATGTTTAGAAACAGGCTGTACGGTTAATGTGCCGAGGATTTTTTTGTTTGTTACCGCGATCATGTATCGGGACCGCTTTTGCACTGTGCTTACCTCTTCCGGCTCGGGCTCGGGCACACGCGGGGCAGGCGTGTCTTCCTTGGGCGACTCTCCTCCGTCAGTGGCCTGTCCGTCGCCGGTCTCAGTCATGGGGTCCTTGCAGACGAGGAAAGTGGAGGCAGAAAAAAAAAGGTCACAACAAGGAAGGCCGCCTCATGGAGTACGACACAAGAGGAAGCATGATAGTCTAGTGTAGATACCTCAAGAGAGTGCGGGATATGGGGTTCGGAATACCCGGTTACGAGATACTTGAGGTGGCTACGGCCGTCTGTTTTTTTCGATCAAAGCAAAGCCCTGATCCAGACACTCCGCCCAACGACAAAAGAAAGGTGAAAAAAGAACACTCCACTCTCATCAATGTCCGCATGCAACGGCCGCCAACAACACGCCCACGTCATGCAAAAAGCCGCAACAGGTAAATAGGACGCATGCTTCCTCCACCAACAACACACGGCGCGGCTACCATCCACGAGCGCAGCAGCAGCTCGGTAAAACGACAACATCCCACTCGTGGCCATCAGTACGTTACACTTAGCGCTCGTGATAAAAAAGGGTTACCTTTCAGAAACTACAGTCCAAGGCTCAGATAATGGCGATAAGTAGGAAAAATCGATCATGAAACACACCTCGACCTTGGATCCCATAGTAGACTCTATACAGTCTAATCAACTATCCTCGACGGTGTTGACGACATAAGAAATTAAGATTCGACCACGCCGATGTTTTTGAAAAAAACGCGGGGTAACTGTACACACCTCGGCGTTGGGGGCGGCGGAACCGTTGGCTCCCCAACCGGCACCTTGGTCTCCCTCGGCCTCATTCTCCGCGTTGGCGGCGGCGTTGTCCATGCCGGCGGCCGCGTCGTTGCCCCAGTTGCGACCGCCGCCGCCGCTCTTCTTGATCTCGCGACCCCTGCACACACGGTGGGCACAGCAGGGCGGGGGGGGGGGGAAGATTGTGGGGAAGGGCTAAAGGGTGTCAGGGGGGGTGTACACTCACCATTCAAGGAGCATGGTCGCAGCTTTTAGTTCAAAGACCATCCAACGGGGGCGAGAAGTGTTGCTTCGTCCCGATCCCACCAAAGTGGTCACGCACCAAAAACAGTAGGAAAACTTTGGAAAGTGGACGACACTCCCAGAACTTAAATGACTTCGTATGTAGTGATAAATGACATTAATGGTTGTCAAGATTGACGATCATCACATGCCGGTATCGTACCTCCTTTCCCACACTCTACTGCTGTGATAGTTGAGGTAACACACAGAACACCAACTGACGCGGTACATGACGGCATACACGAGACCCACTCCCAGAGCAACAGCAACAAATGACTTGGTACAGCAGTAGTGATGGAATGATCGTGACGATGTTGATGAATCACCTGCCGGTACCGGAGCGCCTGTCGTACTCCCTGTTGCGGCCATCTCGCCCGGCGTAGCCGCTCCTGTTGGCGCGGTTGTCCCTGTTGTCACGGTTTTCTCCACCGCCGTATCCACTGAGAATCACGCAAAAAATGTAATACACACGGACGACGCAAAATGGGCAGGCTTACTTCTTTGATGGGATCACGTTGCAAGAGTTAAGTTCAAACTGCGACCACCCAGGCTGTCACAATCTCCAGGACTTCCTCGGCAATGGACCGGCATTTATGGGTAGGTTTTCTCCCTCGTTGTGCCATTCTTTAAAGCCTATGAACGAACACAGCTTGCTTGAAACGGCATGGATGAGGAGGTCATGGACGGAGTTACCGCAACGTTCAGGTTGATGTAGTCGAGACGATACCGACACAAGGCAATCAGAGGAAGAGACGCAGGCAGGCATGACAACAAAGTTGAGGCCCAGTGACATGCACACGAAATGAAACTCCAACAAACACAAGGTACAGCAGCACTTGCCGTCCTCCCCCCTCCGTGACTGCCAGACCCAACAGAAAACAGATCCTAAATGATTGTAACGGTTGTAACAACAGCATACTCTCAATCGAGGCCACGACGTGAGTGGGGTAGAACCGCTGCCCCCTGTCAATCCATTGTGCTAAAACGAAAAAAAAACACACCGACGGCAGCCGCGGCCATACAACCCACGCCACCTAGTGTAGTGGGAGCTCAATTCCACCCCGCCGACAGGAGAACGGCAGTGTGTCTGCTGTAAACAAACATCAGCCAACGCCATTAATAGTGGTATCCTAGCAGTTATGCAAAACTACTCCACATGTCTACCTCAACGCCTGGACGCATACCGCCAGCAGGTGCCGTACGTGACATATCACACCCCCTGGACCGAAATCAAACTCGATTATTCCACCGCGGAAATAGCGGCGCGTTAGAACCGTCTCGTCCCAAAAGATTTAAGGAATAATAAAAAGATGTGATTTTTTCCCGAAAACGGGAACTATCGTTTGATTCATGCATGCATCCTCGTCGTCGTGGAGAAATCGAGCCTTCAAAAATGGGTCCAGAGACTGCTGTGATATCGTGTCTTCACGGTAGATAGCACCTTACGGGTCCGGAGTTCGGAGCTATCGTTGAGCACCAGAGGCTCTAAATTTTCACGAATAAAAGGTCTTGAAAAACACAAAACACCGCTCAGCGGTGGATCCCACACCAAACTCTGCCAAAAAACAACCGATGCTCGACAGCAATGGCTACGAAGTAACAAGCTGAGCCTCGATCCGATTTTGACGTCATGTACAACACTGCTTTGCGCAATCAACACCAAAACGCGGCGAGACTATGGAAAGAGGCGGAGAGAATGGCACACACTCCTCACTACCCCCCCCCTTGACCGATTTTCATAAAGCGCACATGCTCCACAGCCTACGAATGTGCTGACACCGACCGAAAATGGTGGTTTCGTAGACCTCTCGTCGAGGACTTTCCGTGCAATCTTTGCGCACCCCGTTGGTTGTGTGCGAGTGAAAGTCGGTCCAGCGGGGGGGGGGGGGGTAATATCTCGTGTAATGACGTAACTTATGTACGACTTACCCACGCTCTCGGCGGCGGTCGTCGAAGCTCTCGCGCTCAGGTCCACGGTCTCCTCCTCCATCACCATACCTGCCGCCGCGTCCACCCCTGCCCCTGCCCTCGCCACGGCCCCCGCCGCCGCGTCCTCCCTCTCTGCGGGGCCCCCTGCCGCCGGCGTCGCGGCCACCACTCTTAGCCGCCGGCGCCGGCGCGGGGGTGGGCTTCTTGCCGCCCTTGCTACCCTTAGCGGTGGTGGTAGTGGTGGTGGTGGTGGTGGTAGTGGTCACCGAGTTTACGCCCTCGTCATCCGAGTCTAGCGCTCCGAACGGGTTGAAGGTTGCCTGAACGGCGGGCGGCGCCAGTAAAAAAAGGTGACGGAAAGAGATCATAAAAAAAAAGAAAAAGATGAGGGGATCCAAATAAAAAGCGTGTCTTGTGTGTGCAACAGGGTGAGGGGAGGGCTGTTGGCAATGCAAGTTGCGTTTTGCATCGGCAATGCCAGCGGGGGGCTTCTCTTTAGGGAGAGGATTATGCTAAACCGGCGTGCAATAGAGAGAGAGAGAGAGAGAGACTGCGACGCAACAAACCTAAAAGCAAGCTGCTTGTGTGTGACAAACCAGACCTGCTGTTGCTGTCGGCGCGGCGCGCGCGCGTGCCGACAATTTGTATGAAAAAATGAACTGAGCGAGGGGGCAAGAGCCTTCCATCATCAAACCCAACCATCATAACATTTGGGTGCCGCCTGTGGCGATGCGGGGAGGAGCTGGCACACAGGCCACCGTGCTTGGCAACGACACTCGCCGTCGCTTGCCCCTCCACGAGGAGCTCAACGCGGTATAGCTCCCGCGTCGCCGTGCCGGCGTTTGGTGACCGCATAGACCCCCCGACACCACATTTCGGCTGGATTTGGTCCACCCATCACCATCACACCTTTGCCCCATCTGGTGGAAGGAGGGGCTTTGCGATGCGGGAGGAGCGAACGCTGGCACTGCAAAAGGGAGCCTGGAGAGTCGCAGCAAAGCCGCCGCTTTCCTAGCACGAGTGTGGTGGCCGCCCGACCGCTGGATCGCGGGCAGGGATTAGGGCCATCATCCCATGGGGCAACAAAAAGTGTATGGCTGCTGTATGCACAAAGCCTGCCCCGTCCTCCCTGTCTCTCTTCAGGTTGTTGCAAATACACACCGCGCCGTGTTTGTAATCGCCTGGACGTTGGGGGGCCAACCCCAGCTTCAGCACCTACGCCTTGGGTTCGCAGCACCAACACTACAGCCCGCCCTTGTGACCCGTCGTCGCTATCAGGCCCATGCCAGCGCGAGTGGGAGACAACTACTGTTCAAGCAAACGAGAGTGCTTTTTCGCTTTGAGTTCCTGCTCTCTCTTCTCACCATGGTCGGTGTAGCAATAGCCTTGTCTTTCGACCCAACGTCCTCGACTCCTCTGGAGACTTCGAGATGCCGTTAGGCGCACACGGACTTCCCGACCATCCCCTTTTGACAAGCCCCTGGTCTGTGTTGTTTCCGAGCGCTGTTGAGAAGTCCTAGATGTTGCCGTATGCTGCAGAAACTTTGGTGTCCTTGCCCAGCAGAGCCCCTCTTCAGCGCAGCGGAAAAAAAAAAAAGGACACTATGATTATGAAGAAGGCGTTTTCCTACTTGAACAAGCGTCCCCTCCCCCTCGCCGGTGGTCAAAACAAAGATTCGCTTGCCTCTGAGCCGACCAAAAGATCTGACTGAGCAGACACACACCCCGGGGCTGCGGGGGGGGCGAACAGCACTCACTACTACTACTGCTGTGGAAAGACTTGATTGAACACATGCTTCGATCTCGAATGTGTGCGAGGGTAGTGAGAGAGACAACAAAGGACGCCCCGACAGCAAGGATCCGAATGATCTGCACCGCCGTGTGTTTGATACTCTGTTACAGCAAGCAGTTTTTCGATGCACCCATCCATTCGTTTCTTCCCTATCGTATGCGGAGGAGGAAGAGAAGATCTACCTCACGCAACACAGCAGAGAGAAGAAGAGGTGAAACGGTAGCCCATGATGATAAACATTATACTGTAATCTACACACACACACAGCAGAGCAGAGCAGCAGCAGTGCCTCCCGTGGTTGCAACTACTACTACTATGTGTACAGAGTACGTACAACAACAACAGCAATGCAGCAGTTTGTTGCGGTAGTTGTTCGTTGAATTCGTTGCTGACTTCCGTCCCCGCCGCCTCGTTTCTCCAACATCATTTGATTCACCGGTCGGTCGGTACAAGATCTGTACATACATCCCTTTCTTCTGCTGCACTGCTGCTGTCTTCATCTTACTCCAACCACAAGAAAACGACAGGTACAAAGCGTGCTAGATTACGTTATTGAGCAAGTCGTATCAAGCTACATGTAGCTACAGAGTTTTGTTGGTGGCCTCATGTATGTATGGATAGATACAGTCTAGTAGAGATATACCTAGACGTGGGGTTGTATTGTTCCTTAGAATCAAACGATAACACACGAACCCTCTCGAGTCGTGCGGGAAAAACTCACAGGCAAGAGAGATCTTTTCTTTCAAGTGATTGATGATGTGCCACAATCGAAAACGCAGCCGTTTCGTCAAAACCACCAAACACCATCATCCTCTGGGCAAAGCAACATCAAGGATGCAGAGGCATTTCGTCCCCTCTTGGAGTCGTGTAGTTTTTCAAGTGTTTCCCTCTCAAACCGTGCGTGCAGTCATCCCCCCCCCCCCCCTCTCTCCCTCCCGTCTTTCCGTGCATGTACAATATCCGTTCTCGAATATTGCCGATGCCATGCTGATTTGTCAGTCTATCTCCCTAACGCTAAGTAGTGGTCGCACGTTCCACAAGCTAGAGAGCTAGCTGTGCACCATCTCACACGGTGATGGTGCAGCGTCGAGGAAGGATTGTTGTTGTTTACCTTTCCTCCTACTCGCTCTTCGCTGACATCATCAGGGCTTCACCGGTGGCCACTTTGCTCAGGGCTGTGGACACCCTGTGGAGGGTTTCACCCTGTACCTGACCCTGTGGGTACCCTGTCGAGGTAAAAAATATTGCCAGGGTCACTGGGTCAACAATGACAGGGTTAGGGTAACCCCAGGGTCGACGAAGAAACACACCCTGTGAGGCTTGAAAGTTCCACAGGGTCATTCGGTGAACCTTGCCAGGGTTACGTCATCCGCAGGGTCACCAAAACCCGACCTTGGGGATATCGTATGGTCCACAGGGTTACAAGTTATCGCCACGACAGGGTGCCGATACCCGCAGGGTCGGTAAAAGAACACACCATGTAGGTCTTGGAAGTTCTACAGGGTCATTCGGTTCACCTTGCCAGGGTTACCTCATCCTCAGTGTCACGAAAACCTGACCTTGGGGGTATCGTGTGGTCCACAGGGTACCATGTGCTCACCATGACAGGGTTTCGGTACCCACAGGGTCGGCGACGTAGTACAGTATGTGGGGGTTGAAAATTCTACAGGGTCATTCGGTGAACCTTGCCAGGGTGGGGACATCCGCAGGGTCACCAAAACCCGACCTTGGGGATATCGTATAGTCCACAGGGTGCCACGTGCTCACCATGACAGGGTTTCGGTACCCACAGGGTCGGCGAAGGAATACACTCTGCGGGGCTTGAAAGTTCTACAGGGTCATTCGATGAACCTTGCCAGGAGGGCGTCATCCGCAGCGTCACGAAAGTTAAACTTTGGTGATATCGTGTGGTCCTCAGGGCTACAAGCTCTCGCCATGGCAGGGTGCCGATCTCCACAGGGTCGACGAAGAAACACACCCTGTGAGGCTTGAAAGTTCCACAGGGTCATTCGGTGAACCTTGCCAGTGTTACGTCCTCCGCAGGGTCACCAAAACCCGACCTTGGGGATATCGTATGGTCCACAGGGTTACAAGTTATCGCCACGACAGGGTGCCGATACCCGCAGGGTCGGTAAAGGAACACACCATGTAGGTCTTGGAAGTTCTACAGGGTCATTCGGTTCACCTTGCCAGGGTTACCTCATCCGCAGTGTCACGAAAACCCGACCTTGGGGGTATCGTGTGGTCCACAGGGTACCATGTGCTCACCATGACAGGGTTTCGGTACCCACAGGGTCGGCGACGTAGTACAGTATGTGGGGGTTGAAAATTCTACAGGGTCATTCGGTGAACCTTGCCAGGGTGGGGACATCCGCAGGGTCACCAAAACCCGACCTTGGGGATATCGTATAGTCCACAGGGTGCCACGTGCTCACCATGACAGGGTTTCGGTACCCACAGGGTCGGCGAAGGAATACACCCTGCGGGGCTTGAAAGTTCTACAGGGTCATTCGATCGATGAACCTTGGCAGGGGGGCGTCATCCGCAGCGTCACGAAAGTTAAACTTTGGTGATATCGTGTGGTCCTCAGGGTTACAAGCTCTCGCCACGACAGGGTGCCGATCTCCACAGGGTCGGTGAAGAAACACACCATGTGGGGCTTGAAAGTTCCACAGGGTCATTCGGTGAACCTTGCCAGTGTTACGTTATCCACAGGGTCACGTAATTAAAACCTTGGGGATACCGTGTGGTCTACAGGGTTACAACTTCTCGGCACGACAGGGTGCCGATACCCACAGGGTCAGTGAAGGAACACACCATGTGGGGTTTGAAGGTTCTACAGGGTCATTCTGTGACCCTTGCCAGGGTGGCGTCATCTACAGCGTCACGAAAACCCAACATTGGGGATATCGTGTGGCCCGCAGGGTTTCAAATTATCGCCGTGACAGAGTGTCGATACGCACAAGATCGGCGAAGGTACAGACCATCTGTGTCTTGAAGTTCTACAGGGTCATTCGGTGCACCTTGCCAGGGTTGCGTCATCCGCAGGGTCACCAAAACTCGACCTTGGGAATACCGTGTGGTCCACAGGTTTACAAGCTCTCCCCATGACAGGGTGCCCATACCCACAGGGTCCGTGAAGGAACACACCATGTGGGGCTTGAAAGTTCTACAGGAGGGTCATTGTGCGCACCTTGCCAGTGTTACGTCATCCGCAGGGTCACGAAAACCTGACCTTGGGGATACCGTGTAGTCCACAGGGTTACAAATTATCGCCGTGACAGGGTGTCGATACCCGCAGATATCCGCAGGGTCGGTGAAGCAACACACCATTTGGGGCTTGAAAAATCCACAGGGTCGTTTTGTTCACCTTGGCAGTGTACGTCATCCGCAGTAGCGTCACAAAAGTTAAACCTTGGGGGTATTGATAATCCACAGGGTCACATATTGTCGCCTTGACAGGGTACCGATACCCACAGGGTCGGTGAAGGAACACACCATGCCGGTCTTCACAATTCGACACGGTATTTCGGGGAATCTTGCCAGTGTTACGTTATCCACAGGGTCACGTAAGTAAAACCTTGGGGATGTCGTATGGTCCTCAGTGTCACGAATTCTAGCCACGACAGGGTATCGGCACCACCCACAGGGTCAGGGAACAATACTACCACCGTTGCCGTCGACAGGTAATGGTGGTTCATATCGCCTCGTCGCGCGATCCACCATCCCGAAAACGAGATGTTAACTTCTCGCACAGCAGATATTAAACGGAGAGAGGAGCTAGAAGAGTACAGCAGATAAGAGCCGTTTGCGTTAACAGGGGGGGTGGGGCGTTCAAAAAAATGTATTTTCGTTACCCCCCCCCCCCCCCTCTCCCGCAAAAGTTGGTGGCGCCCCCCAACCCGTAGCGTAGCAGCCCGCACACCTAGGCTATACACCTTTTCCCACAAAGCTATGGCGACCAGGCGAAATAATCGCGGCAGTAGCAGTGGCGGTGGTGGTGCCTCAAACGGCGGTGAAGGCGCTTGGAGTTCGTCCCGTAACGGTGGCTCCCCATCTACTGCGGGTGATGATGATGCTGCTGCACAAGCGGCCAAGGGCGCCCTTCGCGATGAGGGGGCGGTGAGCTTACCCTATGACACTGAAGGCTGCAACGCCTTTAACAAGATGCACGAACTCTACAACATGTTTGATTAAGGAATAAAAAAAAGCACACACCGAAAGACTACCCATTCGAGATATACCCACAGTCGAACGGGATGTGGTGGAGTCTTTTCAGTGAGTGGAGGAAACCGGCTGGGTATACTGGACTTATTTCGAGTCTTTTTAAGTTGTACACTGATGATTTATACCAGTGATGCCAGCTGGTGCGAAGTACAAAAACATCTGTATAGGTAACTTACATTTTACAATACATCCCGTTGTAGTTCTCTACTGGGTCAACGACAAAATATCGGGGAGAATCCCTCCGTTGTGTCGTGTATTGTAAAATGTAACCTTCACAGGGGACACGGCGCAGTGTCTATTGATCTTAGGGACTATTCGGCGGATTCATCCCCGCCCACAAGTCCGGGG